CTTTATTTTTTGGGACATTGGGACATTCTCCCCCTCCCCCTCACCCCACACTCCCCCTCCCCCTCACTCCTTCTCCCCTCTTCTCCATCTCCTCCCGCAGATGATGTGCGATCGTCTCCGGCTATGGAGTACCCCTCGTCGATGGGGTCGTCGTCAGCTGCGCCTGTGGCGCCGTCGTCGGGCACCGGCCTCGTGCGGGCGCTCTCGTCGGGCGGCTCGTCGGCGGTGGACGTCGATACCCGGACGACGTTCCGGTCGCGGTCGCGGTCGCTCTCGTACGGCTCGCCGTACCGCAATGACCTCGGGCTCTCGTCGCGGATTCTCTCATCGGTTGCCGAGTACCCGCTGTCGTCGTCGGGCTCGCGGGCGCCGAGCTCGGGTGGCGGGCGCGGGCTGAGCTCGGGTGGAGCGTTGGGCTCGGGCGGAAGCGGGGCTGGTGGCCCCGGCGGGCCGCCGAGCTCGGGCGGAGCGGGTGGGCCTGGAGGCTCCGGACGTGGCGGCTCGTCGCGCGGCTCGACCGGCTCGAGCACGTCGAGCTCTGCGGGCACGGCGCCACAGACGGTTATCTGGGGCACGACGGTCAACGTCGATGACACCATGCAGCGGTTCCGGCGCTTCCTCCGCGACTTTGAGATCGACGGCGCCAACGAGCCGCTGTACCCGGGCCTGCTGCAGAGCATTGCGCGGACCGAGGTGTACAACCTCAACCTCGACACGGCGCATCTGCGCAACTACGACATGGAGCTGTACCGCCAGATGGTGGCGTTCCCGCAGGAGATCATCCCCATCTTTGACCTTGTTGTCCACGAGCTGTTCATGGAGATGTATCCTGACCACGACCAGTCGCGGCGGATTCAAGTCCGCACCTTTAACCTCGAGAGGGTGTTCAAGATGCGCGACCTCAACCCAGACGACATCGACAAGATGGTCTCGATCCGCGGCATGATCATCCGGTCGACGCCGGTCATTCCCGATCTTAAGAAGGCCTTTTTCCGCTGCTCCATCTGCGACAACCCGGCCGAGGTCTTTATCGACCGCGGACGCATCGACGAGCCGCGGAGCTGCAGCAACTGCGGCACCAACTACTCGATGCAGCTCATCCACAACCAGTGCTACTTTGCCGACAAGCAGGTGGTCAAGGTCCAGGAAACACCAGAGTCCATTCCCGAGGGCGAGACGCCGCACACGGTCAACCTGTGCGCGTTTGACGATCTCGTCGACGTGGCCAAGCCCGGTGACCGCGTCGTCATCACCGGCATCTTCCGCGCGCAGACCGTTCGCGAGAACCCGCGCCAGCGGACCGTCAAGTCCATCTACCGCACCTACATCGACGTCATCCACTACCGAAAGCAGGAGTCGGGCCGCCTCGTGTCAGAGAACCCGACCGCCGAGGCCTCCTCCGAGTTCTACACGCCATTTGCCGAAGACACACAGGCGTCGGCGTTTTCGGACGCCGACGTGGCCTCCTTCCGCGAGCTCGCGGCATCGGGCAACGCGTACGACGTGCTCACAGCTTCGCTCGCGCCCGGGATCTGGGAGATGGAGGACGTCAAGCGCGGCCTACTGTGCCAGCTGTTTGGCGGAACGAACAAGGAGATGCCTGCGGCGCGGTCGGGCCGGTTCCGCGGCGAGATCAACGTGCTTCTCTGCGGCGACCCCGGTACGTCCAAGTCGCAGCTGCTGCAGTACGTGCACCGGCTTGCGCCGCGTGGCATCTACACCTCGGGCAAGGGCTCGTCGGCGGTCGGCCTCACAGCGTACATTTCCAAGGACCCAGACACCCGCGAGCTTGTGCTCGAGTCGGGCGCGCTCGTCCTCTCGGACCGCGGCATCTGCTGCATCGACGAGTTTGACAAGATGTCCGACTCGACTCGCTCGATGCTTCACGAGGCCATGGAGCAGCAGACGGTCTCCATTGCCAAGGCCGGCATCATTTGCACGCTCAACGCGAGAACCTCGGTCCTGGCCTCGGCCAACCCGGTCGAGTCGCGGTACAATCCCAACCTCTCGGTCGTCCAGAACATCGAGCTCCCGCCGACGCTCCTCTCGCGGTTTGACCTCATTTACCTCGTCCTTGATCGTGTTGACGCCCGCCTCGACCGCAAGCTTGCCAAGCACATTGTCTCGCTCTACATGGAGGCTCCGCCGGAGCCCGAGGTCAACGTCGTCGAGAAGGACTTTTTCACAAAGTACGTCTCGTACGCCAAGCAGAACATCGAGCCGGTCATCTCTGAGGCGGCCATGAACGCCCTCGTTGACGGCTACGTTACTATGCGCAACCCGCCGGGCTCGGCTTCGTACGGCTCGCAGGCGTCCAAGAAGGTGATCACCGCCACCCCGCGCCAGCTTGAGTCGCTCATCCGCCTCTCCGAGGCTCTGGCCAAGGTCGAGCTCGCCGAAGTGGTCACCGTCGACCACGTCAACGAGGCCATCCGCCTCATGCGCGTCGCCCTCCAAAAGGCCGCCACCAACCCCAAGACCGGCACCATCGACATGGACCTCATCACCACCGGCCTCTCCACAGACACCCGCGAGCTGCTCGCCCGCCTCCAGCGCAAGGTCAACGACATTCTCGCCGCCTCGCGCACCCCGTCCATCTCGTTTGAGGACATTCTGGCCAAGGTCGACGACCCGGCCGTCTCGCGGACCGACCTCCACGACGTCATCACCCAGATGGCCGACCAGGAGCTGGTTGTTCTCTCCGGGACGCAGGCGAACCCCACCGTTCGTCGCCTCTGACGCCATCTGCTGGCCCTCAAAATAGTTAAATGCTTTGCTACGTCGTTGGTGCCTCACATCTTCCCCGCGGCCACCGGCACATCAAAGTCAACCACGTCGGCTAGCTGCGACGGGAGGCCGTGCGATGCGCACTTGAAAACAGCTTGACGTCCTCACACACCACGCCCACAACGCGAGTTGAGCCGGACGACACGCCGTCAAGCTGGACCAGCGCCGGCGCCATCCACGCCTTGACCCCGACGTCGTGGACGGTGAGCGGTGCCGTCAGGTGCGCCTGGACTGCAAACGACGCCGTGCCCGAGGTCGGTGCGTAGACCTGCTTCTCCACGGCAAAGGCGATCGACTCAAAGTACCGTCCCAGCCGCGAGGTCTCGTTGGCGTGCTGCGGGACAAGCGAAAAGCCCCACCCAGTGATGCCGACTTCGCCGGCAGGCACCCCCGGCTTGCCTGTGATGGCCGCCGAGTGAGCCGAGCTCGGCGCCCAGAGCGACGACACGAGCTCGACGCGAGCGCCGGGCGTGACTCGTCCGCCGGCGGGCGCAGCTAGGACAATAGTGGCATCAAAGACCGCGTCAAAGGTCATCCGCCAGTTGAACGGCTTGCCGCCGCCCTTGTCGGGCGTCCACGCCCGGCCCAGCTCAAACGCGAGGTCAAAGTGGAGCACGCCGCTCGCGCGGTCGAGCACCACCGAGCCGTTGTCAATCTCGACTGCGATGTGGGTGGCCCAGATCCCGTTCGAGTTGCACACCTCGCCCGGCGGCTGCAGCGCCGGGTTGCACGACATGTTGAGCGCAAAGCCGCCGAGGAGGACCGCCGGCTCGGCGGCGCCGGCAGCGGGGCCCATGCTTGCCAGTGCCCTGGCCACATCGAGTTGACCGTGGAGGACAAACGCTGACATGGCCACCGGATCGTCGTCGGGCCCAGTCGCCGAGTCGGTCCAGTTGATTGCGAGGGCGGTGGTGAGCAGGGCTGCCGGCGCCGCCGGGCTGGGTGCGATGACCGCTAGCGTCGTTGTCGGGTGCGCGTAGTCGCCGTCGACGCCCGGGGTGAACGCCATGGCCACTCTGCCCGCGGATCGGTTGGCGCGCGGTACCATGGCAGTGCCCAGTGGGCGCGAGGCGAGGGTACCGAGCCGGTGCGGGGTGGCTGCCATGCCGCCGATGCGGAAGAGCCACTTGTAGTCGAAGCCTTGCCAGACGATGGCGGGCGGGGAGGCTGAGGTGGCGGGGGTAGAGAGGACGAGAACAAGGACGAGGACGAGAACGAGGGCAAGTGACAGATGCATATATATATGTGGGTGGTGGTGGTGGTGGTGGTGGTGGTGTGTGGGGGGGGGGGGGGTAGCGAAGAGTGTGTGGTGCGCCGCGTGACAGGTGGCGGCATGCATGGCAGGGCAGGGCAGGCCATCCGGGCATTGGCCACCATTCAAGGTTCAATTCGATGGTAGGAGGAGGGAGGAGGAGAAGGGGTGGGGAGGGCGCATTGCAAAGGGTACAACCTTAGCCAAAGAGCGAAGTCTTGGCCATGATGCGCATAAAGTCGTCCTGCGAGACCTCGCCGTCGCCGTCGCGGTCGGCCTCGTCGATCATCTCCTGCAGCTCCTCGTCGGTGAGGTTCTCGCCGAGCTCCTTGGCGACGCGCTTAAGGTTCTTGAACGAGATCTTTCCAGTGTCGTCGTCGTCAAAGAGACGGAAGGCCTTGAGGATCTCCTCCTTCCCGTCGCGCTCGGACATCTTGGAGACCATCATCTGCTCAAACTCCGAGTACTCGATGGTGCCCGAGCCGTCACGGTCGACGTCCGCGATCATCTTCTTCAGCTCGTCGCGCGACGGCTCAAAGCCCAGCGCACGCATAGCCACCTTGAGCTCGCGGGCATCGATGGTGCCCGACGAGTCCGTGTCGAAGAGGTCGAACGCCTCGCGGATCTCCTGCCGCTGCTCCTCGGTCAGCTCCTGCCGCCCGCCACGCCCGCGCCGCGACGAGTATCCCTGCCGCAGTGATGCCTGCACTCCACCATGCACCATGTACCGTATCGCCCCGCACTGTGAGACTCGCTCGCACCGTGGGTCCCTCTCCCCCCTCTCCCCCTACCGCCCTCCCGCCCCTCCCCCTTCACTCTCCAGCACTCGCTCCATCACCGGCACGACAACGACCAGCACCACGAACACCACGACAACGACAAGCCTCTCCCCCCTTCCCCTCCTTCCCCCCTCCTTCCCCCTCCAACAGCGCGCGCTTTTTGCCATTTTCCTCGCCTTCCTCCACCCCCGCCACCCCGCCAGTTTATCTAAGGAATTC